CTCTGTTATAGGAGGCGCAAAGGGCAACTTGTAAAAAAAAGCCCCTTTGGTTATGCACTGAAGTTGTTAAAAGATTAAAAAGGCTGCTACTGTCTGATCAAAGCAAAAGTTGAAATTCAAGGGTATTGGAGTAACACCTCAGATGACCAGATGCCATGCAGTAGCTGAAAGCCAACACCAGAAAGTCTGAATTTTTCAGTATTGTTTGTGACAAAAGAAAAATGCTTCTCTCCAGATTTTTATGTCATATTTTTAAGTTTTGTGCTCCATGTTCATGTTGTTCTAATGCTTTCTCCAGATCCAAGGAGAAAGAGATCCTCAACCCTGCTCCTGCTTCTTCCTATTCATTTGCCTACACCCGTTTTTCTTCATGGGATCAAAGCCAGTCATAAAAAAATTATCTAGAAACCTAAGGAAGCCACTTTGCATCAGGGTGCCCGTCAGAACAGCAACCACACTCACAGGCAGTAGTAGCACTTTCCTGCCCACACTGTCCCTGGGACAGCAGCAGCTCTCTGGGCTGCCTGCCTAGCATTTCCTTTGTAAGATAAGCAAGTAACTGCCCTTGTAGAATAGATGTGTTAACTTACTTTCTAAAAGCACTAAGGTTACTACAGAAGTTCACTCTTCCTGGAGAAAAGGTAATTCATAGTACATGCTCAGGACTGTTGGCTAACAGGCATGGCAGGCACAGAACTGGGAATCCTAAGCAGTAAAGATGTCATATGATAGGGTTGTATACAGAGTTGTTTAAAAGCAAAGTGTAATCACACACCGCCAATTAAACAGGTGCAGTATCACTTATCATAGCTCCACATAGAATATACATTCAGCTATACTTTTGCAATAGCAGGAAAAGTACATGCTAGGAGAAAAAAAGTTTCCTATGACAGCTCCCTAATCTCCCTACCAGTCTATTCCAAAGTGTGATTAACATGTCCATCCGAAGTAATTTCCTCAGATCTAATCCATGTTGCAATTAAAGTCCAGAATTCCACCCCCATTCACTTCAAATACGAATCCCCCCTCAGCTGCAAAGGACTTAGCAGTAATTACACTGCCTAGTGATCTCACTCTAGCTTCACAGATTTTTATTTCCTAGCCCTTTCAAAGCCCTCCTTCCTCAACTTTTCAGTTTGCAAAGACTTGCAAAAAACATCCATATTAATTGGAAGATATTCCACAAGACTGTGCCAGTACAGCTGGTATTAGCTAAGACAGTACATTTACTTGCAAGTAAAACCTGTATCTTGTCTGATTCTGCATCATCTACTGGAGCTCCATGTATTCTTTTCCTGAACATGGCTTAAATAAAAAAATCCCTCAGCAACTAAAAGTGAAAAAGCAGCTGCATGTGAAGCCACTGTTTCTCCCCCACAGCAGTAACCTCTGATTAAAATTATGCAACTTGCGGAATGGCTCCCAGACAATGCATCAGCTAGAGTCACTCCTTTGTCCTGTAACCATAGTCATAAATTTAAGGCCCTGCTACCAAAAGCTGTACCCATCCCCACAACAGGCAGGTGTGGCATGTATCAGTAACTCCAAAGAACACATGCCGATCTAGTCCTGGTTGAGTAGTCTTTTAAGGAAGAAGCGACACTTGCAGTGATAATCAATATCTCTTTATTAACTTTTTGATACATCTGAATGCTTTACATTGGCATATATACTAAAATTATGACTCTGTGTTTTACATTCATTTTCCAGACTTCACAAACTTACCTTCAGCTCATGCAGTACACATATACTCCTTGCAACAACCATTCTAACACACCTGAACAGCAGACGAGACAACACCAAAGGTGTGTGTCATCGGACTTAACACTGCAGCATGGTCAGCCACATGACAGAGCACAGCACAGCCACTAAACCACCAAGAGAATTACTGGAACTGCTTAAGACTTGGTGACAGCCTAAAAATAGCAGCAGGAGATCCCTGAAAGCAGCACAAAATGAGCTAGTCGTCTTAACTCTTTTATTTGTATATAAGCAGTCAAAGCTAATTTTAGGCGCACTAACCTACACTCCAGCTGCTCCTTGTGGAGCTGAGAGGTGGACTGCAGAATCTCTCATTTGGGCTGGAAGTCTGAACTTTATTAATTTCTGTTGTCTAAAGTGAGATTAAGACCTAGCCTAAAATCAGTTTTTGCTAGCGCTGCTTGATAACCATAAATAATATTGCTCACAAAAGGCATCAATTCCAGAAGACAGATCCACCCTCCCCTAAGTAAAAATTAAAGTTCTAGTCAGCTACTTCTAGAATTCACATGTGGAATTTAGCCTCATCTTCTTCTGTCATCACAACTCAAGAGTGTTTTTCCCCTGTAAAAACAAGTTTGAGGCAGTTTAATATCGCTACCAGAAACACATACAAGACAGCAAACATTATTGAACGGTACCATGCTCTGCTCAGAGCTGTAAACTACTCTAAAACAGAAGTACTGGTATCAACTTGACATCTTACTCTGCTCTTGCAGTTGCAGATTACTCTTAGTACTCCCTACATTAAATCAGAAACGTACTTATTGAAAAAGACATTCTCCTTGTGCAGACATCCCCGAAACATCTGTGGGTTCAGATGCCTATAGTTTGGCAGGCGTAAGTACTGGCAATGTGCGTTTTATCATAATCCGCTATTCCTAGATATTATTTCTACGCCCAAGCTCAATTCTTCCTAGTCACGCTAATTTATGCACTCAGTTGTATTTTTCTGCCAATAAAACACACGTACAAATAAAACATGCCTTAGAAACAAAACATCAAGCTTATACTTTGATTTCAGCAAGCAAGTCTCCGTAGTTCAGTCGCTAAACATAAATTATCGAATCGGTATTATTCCCGCCCAAAATCTCACTTCTAAGAGTTTATTACGTAGCACATACCCAGGCACATCCTTTTTTGGGGGAAGATCTTTAACGGCAACAGATGCAGCTTCTGCACTCCTAAGAAAAAGGAGAGAACACGTTTAAAGACTACGCTCTAACGGCTTCCTGAGAAAATAAGGGAGAAAACAGAAGACCAACCAAACAAAAAAACACAAGAAGCGTAGACAGCCAGTCCCACGGCGCCAACCATCTCGGCCGACTCGGCCTGTTACTTGCTACAGTCAACGACTAATACCCACAAGACGGTAAAAGTTATGCCAATCAGCAAGGAGCTGCTCTTCCATGCCTAGGAAGGGAGACAGCCACAGGCGGCAGCCCCCATGTCAGTGCAGTGAAGGGCAGTCAGGCTGCAAAAGCTGCTCTCTGGCAAAGGCTGCACCTCAAAAGGTGAGTTTCTGTTCTGTGCATGGGCGTACTGGAAAGATGAGGCAAGCGATTTTGGCTTTTGCAGGCCAGATGCCAATGAACTGACCCAGCCAGGGGACAGAAAATGTGGCTCAGTCAGCTACAGCAGGATGATTCTGTATTTGAATTGTTAGATTTTGAAGAAGAAGCTGGAAGTGATGACTCGTGTAGTGCAGGAAGCTGCCTTTTGGCTCATATTTTAGTATACACATTTCTTACCTCTTTTTCCATGGAAAAGATAGGAAATTATTTAAGGCATATCTATCACATTAGGTGGTTTTCATCATTTTCAATGGTGATGATGTAACACTACTGCTTCAAACTATTAGCCAGTGTTGTGGAATAATGAAACTCCTGCTAAGATTGTACAGAAGTGCAGAGACAAACTGCAGCCCTTCCCTGTGCCATAAGCTAAACCTCAGCTGTTCTGACCTTGCACTGTTTGTGTTTAGGAATTTTAATTTCACTCCATCATGTGCATAAAAGAGCTGGCTCCTGCCTTTAGCCCATGTTTTCCTTCCAGACAGAGATCTATAGCTAAAATGTATGTACTGTGTTTGTATAAAAACTCATGCAAAAAATGTTTGGGTTTTTTTGTTTGTTTTTTTTTTTGTACAGGAGTAAATTCGTTCAGAATTTAGCTGAAGAAAGGAGCTTTACTTAGGATAGACAGTCTTGATGAGATAATTGTAAGATTTTGAAGAAAGGAGCTCATTTCTCTGATCTCCTCAATAACAGAGATTACAGGATTTGAACTAGTAACTTTGAACCAAGCCCCTACATCATGGTTGAACTAAACCACGTCCATGTCATATCCTCTGAAGAGATCTGATAGTGACCTTGCACTACTAGTCTGACAGCTCTCCTAGTCAAGACAGACATACGAGCAATTAGAAGTATGAGAGCATTATTTCCCAACTGACTTTCTTAAGAGAGAGGATCAGAACTGAAAAAGGGAAATTAAGAAAAAACATACTGTATTAAAAAAGAAAGAAAGAAGTAACCTGACAGAAAACAGAGCAGTGAAGACTTAAGCTCACTATATGCTTTTCAAATCTATCACCCTTTATTTGTCTAAATTTCTCCTCCATTCACGTTTCCCTAGCCCTTGGTTTCAGCTGTTAATTACTTTGCTGTTCCTGTGATCTTTCCTGTGATGCTGACTGTTGTGCTTTCTTCATCCATGTGGTCCTACAGAGACAAAAAAGTGCCTTTTGCCTTCGAGCTCTAAGGATTTTGAGACTGGAAGAACTGAAAAGAAACATTAAAGGAAAGCACAAAAATTGGAGACAGAAGTCAGGCAGGTGTTATTTGTAACAAAGATCTTTTTCCTTTGCTTAGTACCTTCCTGTTATTACTTCACTGTTCCACTTTAGTTATTCTTAGAGATTATAGAGATGGGTATTAAAAAAGCAGTGTAACTTCTAAATTATAGGTTGCATCATTTGTCTGTAGTGAATGGAATATTCTGTTAACATAGGTTTCCTACTTTCTACACCTCTATGAAGATATGAAGCAGCTTTTGCCCAGCTAGATAGTGTACTTTTCTATTCTGTTCTGAATTTCTTGATAACAGTGAATTTTCCTTTGGACATTCATACCATCTTTAGAAGTTTCTCCTAAGAGAGGTTTTCTTATGTCTGTGAAGGCTGATGCATTGGCACAACTATTGAATCCCCAAGGCAAATAATTTGAATAAAGTCTGCTTGTTATCTTAAAAATAGCAAGCTCTGGAAATGTTTCTACAGCACATTAGCAATTTCTGGCACAAGAAATAAAAAGTAAGCAGGAAGCAAAAGCAGTAAAAAGAGCAGCTGCATAGTGCAGTAATATTCACTCACAGAGACAGTAAGCAATATTTTTCATTTCTGAAAACATATCATGCTGTTCCCATGCTCCTGGATTGTGTTGTAGATCAGTGTCAAGCTGCAATATCTGCTAACAAACCTGGAAAAGGACAACTTTTGTGAACATAAAAATCACTTCCACACAGACCTACATTTTCTTATCAGAGTTTATTGTTGCACTTCAGATACCATGCCACTATCAGAATAATATCTATTTTTTATTTTAAAAAACTTTGAGAAAAATGTTTCCAGCAATTTTCATTCAATGTGAATGACAAGAGTATTACATCTATAAACATTGAAATATCTATTTAATTTCTTCCTGAGGAAGTTTCACATTTTTAAGCAATGAAAAAGGATATTCTGTACAAGATAGTCTGCAAATCATTGAAACTAATTCTTTCTGCACAAGTAGAACTGGGAAAGTATCACAGTATTTTCAGGAATGTTTGCTCAAATAATTAAGTGATTTCATATCAGGCTCTGTGTTTACAACCCCCCTAATGGTCACTTTCTGCTCAAAATCACATACTGATTTTAAATGGCACAGATGTCTGCAGAAAGCAAATTTCAGAATCATATTTATGAAAATAGATGTGAAGCTCACATAATCAAGCATTTGTTAAAGAAATTGCTTGTGCAGTTATCTACCAGGGGAAAAGAAACCATGGCTGTGTTACCAACCACTATAAAACATCTAACTTTGATTAGCAAATATAAATTAATTGTAACGAATCAGTGTTTTTTAAGTGTTAATATTGATAGTCTGTTTCTGGAAATCAAACACTGATTGTAGGTAAGATGTGAATAGAAGAGGTTAAACTTTGTCAGATAATTCATGTTGTATGACTGCTTACTCAGCTGTACTCATGTGCATCCTATGATTTGGGGAATAACACATCTAGCTGTTGTCTGCATGCTTTGCTCACACTCTTCCATTCTTCACCAAGCAGTATGCACATTAAAAGTCATTCTGTTTTTTAAAGTCTCCTCTTAAATGTAAGGACATATTTAAATAGAATGGTTCTGGAGAAAAACAAAATTGGCTTCATACCATCTTTCTATAAGCAAGTAATAAGTGAATATCAGAAATTCAGAACTGCAAAGAGCTCCAGCAGTTTGCCTTTACTTCTCTATTGATTCTCTGCCTGAGACTAGCCCACCTAGTGTACAAGAAGCTAATCCTGCAGCACCTTTTCTAAAAAAATGCTAGCGCTTAACAGCTCCATCTCAACAGGAGCTTTGACTTAGGCTCATTCAAGATCATGCCCTTTCAGATGCACAGTTCCAGGACCAAAAGGTTGAACTACTTTGCTTGTAAGTATTGATTCAGGTAAAGTTACTACAAGAATCCACTGTAGATATGCCTAGGAACTCATTCATTTTGTTCCTAGTTCCCCCCTTAGGAAGGGCACTGGGACAATAAGAGAGCTCCACCCTGCTGTTCCTCATCAGCACTTGAGAGCCACCATGGCATTCCTTCCTGGAGGTGGAGCTTTGTGTTTAGTTGCCAGACCAAGCCTAGTCCACCCAAGGCTAATGCCATGCATGTGGGGGGCTTATCCTCCCTGTGCTGCATGGTGACTGTAGTTGGGCTCTTTTACCAGATCACCAACAGTTGTAGGGGGCTCCTTGCTGTACCTCAGAGAGGACTTCACAGAAGTAGTCCACAGATCTGAGACATGTCACCTAGTCTGCTGTAAAATTTCTGGAGGGACAATGCAACTGATAGGCATGTCCCTATCACCACTCTGTCCTTGACTGCCCACTCGTTCTCATTCTGTGGGGGCTTTGATTTCCCAGAGAAAGAAGACAGAAAAGGGATTTCTTGAACACAAAGAATGAACTATGAATGTGGCTGAAGCCCATTCCTCCTGCACATAGGAGGCACTTGAATTCACTTGAATTTCTATGCAGAGGGTCCTCTCACCATGAAAACTTAAGGCACTTGATAGTACCCAAGATTTTTCCTATTTTCTTCTGTTTTATAATTGATGCACTGAAGAACATGAAGTAACTGAGGCAGCAGTGCACAAAACAGGAGCTTCATGCAATCACTGTGGATTTTAAATAAATGTTTGAGTGATATCTTATCAGGTTATATCAAGGGTAAAATCAATCATACCAGGACAAAAACCCCAGGTATTTTCTCCAGTTATTCAATTTAGTTTTAAGAAATCCATATAGATCCTTGCAGGACATATGAGCTGTCCACAGCATGCAGAGTATTTGCTCTTACAGATGTTCAGAATCCAGAGTGTTTCTTTTATCAAATAAGAAGTATTTTAAGACAAGTCAGCTTTTGGGACAAATCCATATGACAGTGAATATTTAAAGTGAAATGAAAATTCTCATTCTGTCTAATAAATAATAAAGATGTTCATCTTTAAAAATGTCTACTCTAGTAGGTCCTCATCATTAATCATGCATATTCCCTTAGCAAAAATGTGCTGCGTAAAGAATATTGTTATATACAGCAAATTTGTCTAGATTTTTTCTTTACAGGCCTATCAAAACCACGTATTACATAGACAAAATCAATAAATAATAAAGATTACCAGTTAGAGGTACAGTAAGGATTTCAACATCTGCTTTCTATTTAGGGAATAACAGACTGGTTTCCATTCCATTACCTTGAAAGTTAAATTATATGATTACATAAATGTCGTAAAACAGCACTGAGACATAGAAAGTTTTTCCACCATTTGATGCATGTTTTTAACTATTCACCCTAAAACAAATTATGACAACATTATAGAGCTACTGTAAAAAGCATTGCATTTAGTTAGTACTGTAGTTCTCTTTTGTTTTCACTACCTCTTCATGCCTTTAGAAACACTCAGAGCCAAAGTTCAGTGGAGAAGCATTAAGGCCATACTCAGCTGAAGTTTTCATTGATTTTTCTCTCTCAGCTTCTAAGTACAATTAATTAGACTTTATCTCACATCTAAACTGATGCATTGCGAGATGTACCATTGAAATGTATCACATAAATGTAAGGCTGGATATTTTTTTGTTTTCCATGATTAGAGTGTAATTTTCTACCATGATTACACAACTGTGTTTGTTTTTTTCCCCCTAAAGCTTATTCCTAGTATAGAACACCAAACATGTTTAAAATGTCTGGATCCAGAACCTCTATTTTAATCTGAAAATCTGATAGATTTTTGCAGCTGACATAAACTGAAGGTTACTGAAATATGCTACGATTTTGATCAGGTTGAGGAATCTTGGAATACACAAAGCATAGATTGAAGGCAAATAAATTGAGGAAAAAATAGTGGTGCAAATTAAGGCGATCTAAGTATGGTTCTGTTTCTGCTCTTTATGAGTTTTTAGTGCATTTCAGTGGAATCACTCCTGATTCACAGCGCTGTAAGCCCTGAGTGCAGTATCCAGATCTGACTGCTCACAGAAGTCAGGAGTGAAAGCCTGTTCATTGCACTGCTTCAATTTGGTTCACAACTGTTGAAGTATAATACTGCTCATAAAGTTTATACTGCGACTTTTGTGCTTCACATGTCCAATTAAATTTCTTTTCAGATAATGACTATATTCTGTATTTTGTCATTTCAGTTAGTACAAAATCAAACATAGTAATTATAGACAAACGCCCTTACCACTTTCTAAGGGTTTGTTGTTACAGGCTATAATCATAGATAATGGTTTGTGTGTGTGTTTGTTTTTTCCTACACTGCTTTTGCCTGTGGCTTCCAGATTTTGCTTTGTGTATTTTAAATCATATATGATAACAGTACTTCTCACCCTTGTTAGTATATACTTTGCGTATTAGCAAAGGCAGAAGTACACTTGGCATTTTGTGCTACATTAAGTTTTCTTATTTTATGCGAGGCAATAATCAAATAGTAAGAAAAACTGTCAAACAATGGGCTACAGAACCTACATGAGACACAATACTTTTAAACTGATATATAATAAGGTAAATATTTACCGTGAAATTGGATAGGTCGTGTATCTCTGAAGCTTATACCAGTTGCAAATAACTTCCATGTATGTGCACAGTAGTCCACAAGTCCACAGGGCCAGAAATGTTTATGAGAAAGTTTTGGCCCACCAGAGCTCTAAGAAACACATGTATTTTCACAATCCACATGCCAGCATATGGAAATAATTTCTATCTTTTACTCATTTTTGAAGAGGTATATCTTACAAGACCTTCTGGTAGCTACTGGAGACTTAGGCATGATGACTGAAGCGTGGAAGAGAGATTTCAAAAAGCCTTTTTTCAATGCTATCTTACTTTCTGTAGTTCCTGTCTCAGCCACGATGGCAGGGGTTGTCCCAATTTGTGTAGAAGTTTTGACAGTTCCACATTGTGATCTCTGTAGTAGCTTGACAGAAAAGCCCTGCACTGATGGATAAAAAAGGAGATATTTTTATTTAATAAAATGCTGTACTAAAGGTGCTGTGAATTCTAGGTTTCAAAGTTTGTTTTACCTGTGTCAAAACTTTATCTTATGCATTTTATATTGTTTTATGCTACCTACTGCATGCAAGTTTAAGCTCTTCGGTTAGGAGCTGAACTGTAAAAGGTAATTTCAAGAGAAACAACGGTTATGCAAAACAAACATGGAAGTCAAGGCAAAGGATCTGAATCTACTCTCAGATAGTCATGTAAATTAAGAATCACACTAAAGCTGATGCAGTTACTTTGAATTTACTGAAGTGTGATTGAAACCAATTGTTCTAAAATATCTTTGTATGTAGGCATATATCAATCAGTAACCCCATTTTCATGAGTATTTAGAGTTGAAAAATACACCAATAAACAAACACAGTATTGTCAGATCTCTGGCCAAAAGCCTTCTCACCCAGTGATTTTACATCAGTATGATTCTATAGATGTAAAGTTACTCATCATATAAATACTGTGAGAAAAAATTCCTGGCTTACTTGCCACATTAATACCGATGTTCAAACTGTAAGTTTTTACTTGTGTTTTAGTCAGGCTAAATGAAATGAGAATACAGGAGAGAATAAATGTGAAAGTTACAGCTAGAATAGGAGACTAAACTGCCACTGGGTACAGGCTGCAGCAGTTGATCTGATGCAAGTTTTTTATTTGAGCATTTGTCTGGCGAAAGTATTAATAAAATTCGTAGAAACAGAACCTAACCTCTCTTAAAACCAGATTATATGAGAGTCTGCAGTACTTGTCATGGTCTAACTACTCTCAAAGACAAGGGACCAGACACAAATGCACATACCTGATTATGAATGAGAAAGCATCATGCACTGTGGAACCTCTGCTGCATAAGTCAATTAAGTAAAGGGGACAGGTTTGCAAGTGAATTTCAGGGAACTTTAAGGGTGCCAAGTTTATTTTTCTAAGGGATACCACATTTTAAAAGTTTTTTTAATGACTTAAATTCTTCACATTTGAAATAAAGAACTGAAAAAGTTTATGCACTCCACAGTATCTTAAATGTTTAATTTGCAGAGAAAGGTAGTCAAATAATTAATGTCTACTTAATTTTGTCTTCTTTCCCTCCTTATGATTTTGTCCATGTGGTGTCCCATATGTGGCAAATGAATCCCTGTATAATGTCAATGATCATAATGGTTTACCTCAGAATCCATAGGAGGGTATTTTCTACCTTTGCTCTTTCCAAGACACTTTGTTTTTCCTTCTTCCAGGAGCTGACACCAGAAACCTTTATGTGAATCGAATCTGAAACAAATATTTTATGTAAAGGCTGTGAGATACTGTAAGGAGGATGCATCTCCCAAGTTTAGAATGAAGACTCAAAAAAGTAAACCTGAGTTTATGGTCTTATTTTAAGGCCAACCAAATCTAAATGTCAAAACCCAAAGGATTTGTGTACATGTGTATTTATGATGTACAGAGTGGATGTTACATTCCCGACTGATACCACTTAACCTGTCTTGCACCTAATGTCAAAAATAAAGAGAAACTCATTCCCCTTCCCTTATGGTTATGCATGTCAGCATTCCATGTTCCACTTACAGAAATAAAATTCCTTGCGATTCATCCAAAATTCATATGCAATTCTCACAAAACAATACCAACTTTGTCCGTTTATCAGGGGTGTACTTCTGTAACAGTCAAACTCCACACTGAGTGGCTCAGTGGATAATTCACAGAAAATCTAACCCTGAATTGTGTTCTTTGCAGACACTGAAGAATATATCTCACTGACAGCTAAAAAAAGTATGGGAGGCTTTATTTTGCAGTGAGCTTGCTTATAGACTAGCTGCTATTTTAGGAATAGCTGCTATTTTAGGAATAGCTGCTATTTTAGGAATAGCTGCTATTTTAGGAATGTAGGAACATGTGAAAATGGTGATTAACTCACGTTAGGGCTTCAGAGTAATTATAATGAGGAGAGACTCCCAGAAATTTCTGTACTTCATCCATTACGGTAGACGGGTCAGTTCTCAGCTGCTGTCCATCAATAATTAGCAACTACAACAAATAAAATAAATGGAAGTTTAATTTAAAATTCATTATTTCAGGCTTCAAACTGAAACTTCCACCTCTGTCAAACTCATTCATTATATGGAGGGTACTGCCCCAGAGAATGATAATTGGTCCAGTTTTAATTGTCATCATCATTAATGACCTGGGAGCAGGGTAAATGGCATGTTAATTAAATCTGAAATGATATTACATTGAAAGCTGTTGTGACAGAGAAATATCTGTGAAGAATCTAGAAAGATAAGAAATAAGAATATTGGCAGGAAATTGAGTGAGACTTGTCTGGCCAAGAAAAAAAGGTATTAATGTCTAGAGAAATAACCTTTAATTCTCATAGACACAAACATATACATATATATGTTACAGTAATGTTGAAAAGCTTGACACTAGAAATGACCAGAAAGACAGAAACCAGTAAGTAGATGTTAGGTGAAATGCCTTACTTCTAAACCCATACAACAATACAAAATTGTATGAAAAAAAGGTCTTTGAGAACAGGAATAAAGGCAGATGTTATGAGGACCCTAAGGCAGGGATATACATAGGTACAGAATGTGTAGGTAATTTCTTTTCCTTCATTTCACGTGCTTGACCATATACACACTCACAGTAGGCTACTTCAGAAAGGGCCACCCTTTTACCTGAAGGTCAGTCTTCAGAGAAACAGACACTATCTAAGAATTTTATCAAATGTGCTGCCATGCCCAAATGACCCACTGATGGTGCAGCAAGTTTGTGTCTTTAAGACTTGGAAGAGAAAGAAGGTCCCAAATGAATTAATGAAGCATTCATTTCCTGTGATGGAAACACCTCCACTTTTTCCATTGTCCTTTAGTGATGAAAAGGAGAGGGGAAATAGATTTGCAGATAGCTCAACAATCACCTTCTGCAAGCAGTGCTGAAGCTTGTTTTTACATTTCCATGCAAGCAGAGAGGCTAAAATCATATGGATTGCTTCTAGGACTGGATAAAACCTAGAGGTCTGCAAGATTATCAGGTTTCAGAACATAATCAAACGGGAGAAAATTTCTTTTGAAAAATCACTCTTTGGAATTACCCATATATAGCATGTAGATTTAGAGATGTGGATTAGTAGAAATATCAGGCTGTTCAGAAAGCAGTAGCTCATTCCAGAAGTCTTTGCAATCAGATGCACGATGACTGCCTAAGTCCAAAAATGAACTCCCTGCTTTACTAAGACATAAGCTTTGAAAATAGGCCTTAAGTGCTTCATTTGCACAGAGGTCAAAAATCATCCTAAACAGGGAATAATTCCATCTGAAAGGAGTGAGGGGTTTTTTCCTTCACTATGTAAAAAAACATGTAGAGATAACTATCTGTGCCATTTCCACTTCTGCCACCCCAAAAAAGACACATAAGAAAAAGCTTTATCAGTGGAAATTAATTTAAATTCCTGACATTCTCAGGGAGCAGGTAACAAAAAATGTTCCCTTTCAACCTTCAGGGAGGTTCTAAGGAACTGAGGCAAAATTTTTCCTTACTTGTACTGATTTATCCATATCCTGATTTCAGGAAGATGTAATTTCATGAAATTCCTCAAAATCCAAGGCATTTTATGTATTGGTAAAGTTGAAAAATTAAATAGTGTAATTTTTACAAAGTAGATAGATTCATATATATTGAAAATACTACAGATGAAGTATTTTGTGTCGCTTTACAAAGTATTGATCATTTTACTGTAACACTGTTGACAGCTGTAGAGATTGTCTGAGTCCCTGTTCTCTCACTATACCTTTCTTACTTTGTATCTAGAAGTCACCATGGTGGAAGAGGAGCAAGAAAGACAGTTGGGAGAAGAGAACAGCTTAGAAACAGCTTGAGTCCTTCAGCTTCAGACTGGCCATTAAATGATGGCTGTTGCAAAATCAGCTTCATTTCCTACAGGGCTGGTGCATGAGCATGTCTTTTGGCTCATGAGGGAGCTTGTCATGCTAGGTCTGCTTTTCTTCTATATGACTGCATTGAAGCCATCAGTTGTGGCTGAGAAACTAACTTAAGAGACATGAGTTTCCTGAACTTTTAGAGATCTGTCGTGGTGGCCAGACCAAAGAGGACTTTCTGTATGACTTATAAAAATCTAAGCCAATCAAAATTTTAAAGATCTGAACACCAAATTTGTAAAGTACTCTGAGATTTGCAGAGTCTTACCATGCAAGACAAGTGTGCTGCTAACACTTTTCTAATGAAGAGGTGAACCTTACCTATTCCTGTTGCTACTTCTACCACTTACTGTATGCCTGATGACTTCCTAATGGACATTAAGACTTCAGTCATATGTGTAGAGACCCTCAAGTTTATACAGCATTAAAAATTGTAGATAGCTTTTGCTAGTCTGGGTGAGAGCTCTTTTGGTGAAGAAAGGCTCTTATTTTTTAAAATAAGGCTGTACTTTTAAGATGAGCTGATTTGGGGTCTGTCTTATATAACTGTTCTATGCTTCAGCAGTTCCTTGAACTTGCTAACTAGTTTGGATATGGCATACTGTATATCGTTGCTTTTGCAATTCAAGTTAATCCCTAGTACTTTTACAGAGAAAACATAAGGCTACCAGGGCTGGTTCTTCGCTATCACTGTGGGATGCAAAATCTGGCAAAGATCTATACAGTGCATATTGTTCAATATTCATGGATTACTTTTGGAGAGAAGCTAATGAAAACATAATGTAGAGAATTTCATATGAGTATCATGATGTTACAGTACTGTGTATCTCGTGAAGTCGGTAAGGCTGGCCTAGAAGAGAGTATGTGGAGAATAACACCAGCTAGATGCACCAGAGCTTCCTTGGCACTCTCTGGGAAAACAGAAGGTGCAGACTCCAGCCAACTTGTCTCAGCTAAGCGAGTCCTGGATAAACAGAAGGTTCAGATTGCAGCCAACCTCCCTCAACCAAAGTAATCTTTAAATGTTGGGTGAGGAGTAGTGCCAGACACACTGCTCATGTCAGAAAAATCCAGAAATAAATCTGTCAAGGAGATCAGGTGATACTGTGTGCCTGGTCTTGTATATCATATGATGTTCAGGACTGAGGATGTGCACTTTTGAGGCTTGATCTTACACAGGGCCAGAAGGAGCCCAATCACTTGTATGTTACATGTCAACAGAAGCTTGCAGGGAGATCCAATTTTTAGGTTGCATATGTGCCAACCGTACTGAAACCCATGGGTCCATAAACACACACCCTTTGAGGCCCAAAGGCACAGCCTTAACACAAAGAACACATTGTGGTGTCAGGTTCAGTGACAAATACCAAATGTAGACAATGAGGAGCACCAACACACCAAACTGCTTCAGTGCATGAATCATTCCCAGTAGAGGCTCTGATATGTGGATGCACTGTTATGGGCAGCAATGTGTAAGGAATTTCCAAAAACAAAGTGTGCAAAAGCGACCCAGTGCTTTGACAGTTACAGAAAAGTCATGTTAGGTAAAACATGCATTCACCTAAAAAAATGGTGATGCCCGAGATGGCAAACATGCTGGTATACACAAAGGCTTTATTTTTATTGCTAGCTAAAACAAATCAGAGACAGCTTTCTGGTCTCAAGGCCAAATGGCAAAGAATGACCTGGATCCACGCTGCTAATCTCTCTCACCTGTAAACTGGTTGTGTCCACACTCCCCAGTGGTAATTGTTCTTGTTATCTTTCTAGCTGTGCTCTGGAACTGCTTGGCAAGACGCTTTTTGCTATGGGTCCAAACTGTGCCAGAAGTGTGTTAAAAATCAGTATGGACAGCAGTGGGATAGTGTGTGAACTCTTGAACAGGTACATGATTATTTACTACTATGATCATAGCCTAAGGAGGTTGACACAGTGAGAGATTAATGCATGAAAGGACCAAGAAGAGAGTGAAGACACTGATGCATTTAAATATTAAGGTGTTACAAAACCACTAGGTCACATCCATTTCCATGTGGTAATCCCCATTTCAGATGGAAAATATATTTTTTACACCTCAAAGTGTTCAGACACCAAAACTCTTCTCAACCCATGCAAGGAGGGCAATACCCCATCTGACATCCCATGATGTTCACTGATACTTGCTACCACTCAAGTAGGCAGAAATATTATTGAGAAACTTCCCTTTATTTTCCTTAAATTCTTCTTTTGGGAAGCCAGAAGGACCATCTGATATTAAAGAGACCACAAAGCACTGCATGCCTGGTTCTCTTTTTCTCAACATCACTGATGAAAAGCCAGACAAAGGGTGATGAAAGCATGAGCAAATGAAAACCAGCTGTAAGTTAAAGGCAGTTCAGGGTACAAGAGAGTTCAAAAAGAAGCAGTGATGTTTCCTGAGCTTCAGATTATTGTTCTGATTTGTTCTGCAGAAGAAGCTCCCAGCTGTAAGATGTTAAATCACGACAGCTCTAGCAATGTCAATTAACTACTTAGAACATGTCTATGAAGAATCACAGCCAATGTCTTAAAACACACTCTTGTGTATCTAGGATATACCTGAGGATCAGTATTCAGTAGGCAAGACTTTTACAAAGGTAATCTTTTAGGATAGTAGATACATAAGATTAGGATGTCAAGTTACAGTCTTATTCACCTGATAAGGTGGGAAGTAAGTTAGCCATCTTTCAATATGGGTAGCGTACCATCCAGGCGCTAGGCATCTCTTCTGGAGAGCTCTAAGCTCAGATGGGGCTCGAGGTCCAGCTGTGATCACCTGATAGAAGCTGAACTTTAGAGCTGCAGGATCTTCATGTGATCGCTGATGCTGTAAAAGAAGTTATATTGCTGGAACTTTACAGACCACAAAAGTTGGGAAAATAAGACAAAACTGCTTGGTCTTACTGACAAAAATTTCTTTATCTTGTGTTTTGAGCATGAACTGGATACCTGTCTATAAACTAGTTTTTTAATGTGCCGATTACATAAATTATTTGAGTAAGTATTTTCACATATTTATATTACAGGCAGACTTTTGAAAAGGTGGTTTCTGATATTTTAACCCTTGAAAGATTTTCAGATTTACGTTGGCAGATACATCAGCCCATGAGTGATCATATATTGTGCGCTGACTGACAAATAAAATCTTGTATTATCCAAATCCTTTATATACACATATACTGAAAGGATATATAGAGAAGATTCAAGGTGGAAACCCTGATTTGTGCCTGCCCATGTTCTTCAAAGTGCATACCTGATACCAGGAATACGCCCGATCGGATGGGTCAATAAGGATGGTGATGATCTTGGCCTTGGGGATGAGGGAAGCAGCTCGCTTAGGAGCTTCCTCAGAATGGAAATAGTTGGCACTTTTCTCAAAGAGGAAGTCAGTGGTGACATTAGAAGGAGTGGGGAAGAAATCCATGTACCTAGGAGAGCAACACCATTCTCAGAATTACTTAAGTCACACAAAGGTTGAAAATCTGTTAAGTACATTTTATTCTAGGATAATCAATTAAAATCATAGCCTAATTGCCAAATAAAAGCAAACAGAAGTTTACTTGGTACTAGGCTGCTTCTTCTCACTACATATAACTAAACATTGCAGCTATTTTTTTGGTAACTGAATGAAAACATTATGATATTCATGTATCTTCTTAAAATTAGTGAATTCTTACTTTTCAGTCAGAACAAACCCTATCAAAGTCAAAAGTAGAAAATGAGTTTTCCAATTTTGGCCTTTTGCTGACATCAATTACAGTACAATGCCGTAAGAAAAAGATTTTCAGTATGAGAATTGCTTCTACTCAAAAGAGAAAAGAGCTTTTTTATGTGGAGAAGATGCACTGAAAAAATCCCCCAGAACCTCATTAGGTACAAGGTTTCTAAACAGTAACAACATCTTTCACTTATTGTTCTATGAGTCACATTCTTGTGGAAACTTGGGTTGTATTTCTTTTAGCTTTCTTTTGAGCTTTCCTCATCTGCTATGAAGTTGCAGTTAATTTCCAGCAATCTCTTATGTCACATACAGACTTCTTTATCCATGGCCTTCAGACCACTTTTCATTATTGTTGGGGAAAAGAATAAATGGGAAATGTTGGTCTTGATTTTTCAATTAAATACTGTATTGATATGCCATTTAAAACAACCTCTTCTGAAGATCATGTTTAAGGACTGAAATTTGTTCCAGTGCTTAGACTTAGTTCTATTCATAGAAGTGAGCTGCTTCTAATACAAATGGCATGCCCTTGTTGGCTTTGAAATTGTGACCACTGCGGTCAAGGCCAGTAGACTTGGTAAGATGGAACTGACTGATGCACATGCACTCTTCTTTAGGACATGGATCTCACAAGATGACAGTTAGCAGCAGGCACTGATTACAGGGTACTTTGAGACAAGGAAGGAATCTATAGTGGTTTAAAGAACCTAAACTCTGTGACACCTGATGCTGACGTGTTAATTCTTATGTGCAACTTTTATGTATACATAAGCAAACATCGCCAAGTTATTATTTTGTGCTGCTTTGGCACATGAATGGATACAAGTCATCAGAAATATGCAAGGGAATTGGGCTGGCCTTCAGATGACAACTTTCTATGCACTAGATAAGGAATAATTGTTGTGGATTCATTCAAGGTCTTATAAGTAGCAGCTGGTAGATTGTCTTTTATCAGAGAGACCTAAATGATGTCATGTGAAGGGCTGATGGATGGGCAGGTCCCTGCATAATATGCTCAACACCGTGTTCAAAAATTCTGCTACAACATTGCATAGTTATTGCTAGTCTCACAAGCAAAATGTATGTAAAAAAGCTGAAATAAGAGGACAACCAAACAGAACAGCATGAAAGTCTGCCACGGCTCTGCTAGTTTATTAAGTGTTCATATCTGCCTAATGCTAATGCAAATATCTGAGAATATGATACTCTCTCATTGAACAAACAATGGACTCTATTTCCCAAAAATATTAGGGCCGATTTGATTAAAATGATGAAGCTATACCAATTTATATTCACAAATAAAATTATTAGAAACTAATGAGTCAACCTGTGTGACGTCAGAATGTTTTACCAGAACATCAACAGCAAAGAAAAAGGTCAGCTTTGAAAAAGGCAATAGGCCCTAAAGGCAAATCTGCTCTAGATAATATATGGTGTCATTATGCTGTTGTAGTGAAGTCCTGGTAGTAATCTGAGTGAATACAAGGCAATGAGAACTCCAACCTTATAAGGAAACACCTAATATTAAATATGGCACTACACCAAATTTTAGGCAAAAGTTAATTGATTCTTTACATAACATGGCAAATTTGAGAAAAGTAGAAGTTGATGTGGTGTCACTGAAAAATGTTAAAGAGATTGGACTGAGTGGGAAATCAAAAGGTTACAAAGTATAGGCTCAGCACTTCTGCTGAACATAGACTGCAGAACTCTTGCTTAGTACCTCATTCATGAGACAATTATTAAATATGACAAGGGCAAAGCTGAGAAGGGTTTAGAGAAACTTGTCTATGAAATCTGTAACAGCGCTCACATAACAAAATGCGTAACATCTATTCAGGCTTTTTTGTTTCAAGAACAGACAGATCAGTTCTCATCTTACTGTTCTGTTATCTCTACTGGGAGACTACAATACACATCTATACCTCTTTCAAGATGGCAGTATGGAGGTTGCCGAGGGCTGAAAGAACCCTTTCCTGCTTCTGTATTTAGCCTTGGTCTAAATGTAAGCTCAAAGACCAAGTTAGAGTCAGCTCTGGAAAAAAGATGTATTTCCACAACCAGAAAAGAAACAGAACTGATTGTTATTTGTGAATACTCTTGTCTTGAAAGGATCCTAGCAAATTAACAGACTAATGAGGTGAGACCTTGTATCTAATTACCATTTGGTAAGCTCATTACATGCCAGCATTAAAATACACTATTAGACTGAAGTTCTGAGAGATTTATCTGGCAGACAGAATGAAAATCTAAGAATTAAGCAACTACACCTACAGGTAGTTCTGAGTATCCAAGCCTTAACTGTGAGAACCTCACAGGGGTGAGGGGGGCATGTAATGCAGAGGTACAAATAGCCAAATGGATGCTGCAGAGGGAGAAGCAGTCAAAAGGGTGTCCCTGGTCTGAGCTTTATGCACCAGTGCTGTGTTAAGATGAAGGTAATTTGGCACACATCAAACTGTATGTGCATATTAGAGAAGTGGATATGGCAGGAAGAATGAGAAGCAGCAAAGGGGTCTCCCAGCAATGTGAAAACATCGATTTTGTGGAAGAACTGGCTCACTGCACTTAGGCTGTCTCCATCAGTGTGAACCTTGCTTGCATGCAATCTTCTTTAGACGTCAAAGATTCATAGCAAGGAGTCAGCTTTCTAATTTCCAGGCATTCAGCTGGCATCTCTACATTGGTAGTAACTGGCTGATTCATCAAACTTATAAACAATTACAACACTGTAAAAACTAAGTGACTTAAAAAGAAATTGGATCTAATTTCTTTTTCTCTAATCATGGCATTAAAACCATGTAACAGTGTTAACCCTGTTAATTTTCTAGATGAACACAAAGACAAAGGCAAGAAAACTATTTTCCCTTAAACCGGGGCAGAAAAAACCCAAGAAATAATAATCTTTTACTGGTGTTCCCCGGCCACTACAGCATGTTACAGCTTTTCATTGTGTAGTGCTTTATGTTGCAGCACTTTCTGAAAGCAAGGGGCATCAAGAATGACCTTCTGGATGCAGCTATGTCCGGTGATTCCCTGGTGGCCATCCTGAATGTGGCAGTGATACATACTCTTTTATAGCACCACTTACTAACCTTATAGAGACACTAATGTTGTCCTAATTACCTAATCTTTGTAAAACATATTGAGAGCCCTTCCCTGTTCCCCTTTTACCCAATTACTATTTCTAAATCCTATTTTAAAGGAAAAAATGCCTCTCCCTGATATTGCCTTTTTTTGTCTTATGAAATAAGATTTCCAATGAGAACATAATTTTTGCCTCCATATATCCAACTAACACAACCGTTATTGTCCCTACTTCAAAGGCATATGTAATAAGAAATACATATTTTGTTACTGTTTTGCATATATTAATATATAGATATTTACAAAAAAGCCTCACAAAAGTTAGTGCATTTATGACATTCTGTAGTAAGGCTGTTATTCACTTGCATTTATTTATCATTTTAGAAGGACACTGACGATTAGTATTTTATCTCTCTCTATATATAAACATTTACCATTACCAACAGCAATGTCATTTTTGTATTGTTCACAATATATAAACTTTTATATTTATACTAATAACCCATCTTACCAATCAATCCCCCTGTGGTAGTTATTTCTATTAAAGAACTGTACCTCCTCAAAGGTTTTTGGGCTGGGGGAGTTACTAATGATGGAAGGATGCATGATCAGGAACAAATACAAGGCTGTGGTACCTGCAAATAGGATAAAAGTTCAAGATTAAAAAAAAAAATACACACACACACAATTTGTTTTGGGGGGGTCATACCCACAAGATGGACTAAACCACCTTTATTCCATTTCATTTCAGTGAGGGGGGTGTGCTGATTTTGTCACCTAAGAATCTGTGCTTTCTATGCTTTTAGATTGAAGACATTTAAAGAACTAGAAATAGTTAACAGAGAAACTGGAGTGCCAGTGCTGGAATCTGATTTTCACACTTTTAATATGTGTTTTAAAAACAATTATTGTTTATTATGAGACTATCACAAAGATAATTTAAAAATCTTGCACTCAGTAGCTATTGGGGATTGGTGAAGATGAAAGGAAGCATATATGCAATTTTCTGATTACAGAAAAAAAAATTAACCATTAAGTTAATTTATAAACTACTACAGCCTTGCAATTCAAACTTTCCATTAGGAACTTCTTGACTTGAAATAAATGGCATGAAATAACAAGTTTCTATAAACAAGACACTTGCAGGACAGACAAGAACCTGCAATTAAGAATCTATACCGTTTGAAAAATGGCTGTCCTTTCCTCCTTCCACTTTGACAAGATCTTGTCTATCTTGTTGATCTCTTTATCAAAGTATTACTCATTTTGACATAAAGCCAAAAAATCACACATGACTGAACCCTGCATTTTCAATATGTGTACTGTCCATTGTTATAATTTACATTATTAAACTATATATGGATATCTGAAAATAAAAAAAATGCTATTAGATGATCAAGATCTCTGCACAGCAGTCTGAGCAAAAAGTGATTAATTGGTATAGTATAATTATTTGAACTTACACATACCCTATCTTGTTGAAATACAATAAAATCTCACCAGTTTTCTGGGGTCCTACAACCAAGAATTTTGGTAATCGATCACAGGTTTTTTCTTTAGACCAGATATCTCTGTGCCGTTTGTCATCACAGGGATTCTAAAAAAGGAGAAGAACAACTAAGAATTTAATTGGTAATCGCACCTGATAAGGTTCTTAAATTATGTTTATATAAATTACCAGTTTTACTCCAATGTACAAATATTCTTACCAGAAAATATTATTTTCCTTTATGACAAAAACCCATGTTATCATTAAAGAAATATTTCAGTGGTTCAGAAAGGTATGTGCAGTGTAACCAGGCCAGAAAGTGTATCTCTTAAGTGCTGGGTTTTTTTTGATGAGACAAGCGTCTTAAAGAATCATGGTTTTCATTCTACATACATATAGTTGCCTCAGTTATTCAACAGACCCTGGGACAAGATCACTTCTATAAAATGTCAGTATGTTCAGCAGAATTATGCCAAAGACAAATCTGATCCCACATACTTAAGATGTGGGAATAATTTAAAATCAATTGATCAATTACATATAAGTTAGGAAGACTTGAAATTGCTAATGAGTTATCTAATTACTGACTTTTACATTACCATAACAGCTACCACCCTACACATGCTGTAGTTTTTAAACTAGAAGAGTAAATTCATTATAATTTAAGGCTTTCCATTCACACACATATATTCTGATACTCCAATTCAAATTAGTACATAATATTAAATCTTGTTTTTTCATCTGCTGCTTTACAACTGAAACAGTTTGTATTTGTTTTAGCTACTGGGCAGTACTGCAATGAGATGAAGGGAATTACCAATCTTCTCGACTTAAAAAAATGCAACTGTATTCAGTCATGTGCATTATAGACAAAAGACACAACATTCAGTATATGTTAGTCACTGTTACAAATGTCTTTTCTAAGTAATTCTCACTTTTCAGGTCATTTGACTACAGGCTAATTCCCATTTTTAAAATTAATTCACTCTTAACATTATGCAAAAGTAAAATTTTTTCCCCTAGTTCAAAGTTTTATTCAATAACAGCATGAATTTCATGGTGTATATTTATGTGCAAATTTGCAATGTCATACACAGATTCTAAGTTGGCAGTTCAGTATCCAATGCTAGAAAACACTCGAGTAAGCAAACTTAAATACATTTTTATGTTTGATTTAGTAAAGTTTGCTCCTTAGAATATTACTACCAAGTTACCTCAATGGGATGATATTTGGGATACCTGATATCACTGTTGGGACACATGTACCTACAGCACTCAGACATTCCACTGAATTGGCTGAACCGTCACCCAGCGTGTGCAAAATGACTGCGTTCACCACTTGGTGCAGGAGCTTCTCTTTAGAGGCTGTGCTCTTAGTGCTGGGTGATGGGCTGAAGATGCATCAACTGCAGGTCAGTGCAGGCTTCAGCCTTAGCAGGTCTTCCCGTTCCTGGTATTTTCAATTTGCTCATTTACCAGTGTGGGATAATCAAGTGGCAGAGCTGAAAACATCGGAGTATTAAGTGCTGGTAAATTTCTGGCTTGGGCATTTCTCAGCCCTTTTGTGAATAACCTTCTAATTCATCTATTTCTACTTGGCTAGTCAGTCTTAGCATTAGGGGTATCCATGGTCTTAATGTTCTTTTCTCTTTTTCGATGTCCTCTTCACATACTTGGAGAAGAGTTCACACCTTTAATGGCCAAGTGCTAAAACACGCATATGCATCTCTCTGTCAAATGCTTCACTTCTATTAGTTCCAAAACAAGGAAAAAAACCCCACAACAAGCCTTTCCTGCACTTCCCACATTATAAAGCAAGTAAAGTCACAAATAAAATTAATTAAAGATAATTTTAATTACACATCTTAATACATATTAATTTCACAACTTTTCTATGGAGATTTAAGCGATGGAGCAAACAATCACGTACACTGAAGCTTCAGTAAGCTGTTTTACGGAACCAGGCAGTAAATCTGAAAGTATTATTGCTTAGTATTATACAAGAAACTGAAACAGAGAACTTAACAAAAAACACCATCAAGATGAATTTTTTTTTATCTCTTCATCAGCAAGCTTGTTTACCTGCCAGAGAGGGTCCTTTTGCTCTGGGAATAGTTCAAAATACTTGCGAGCCAGCTGAACTGGAGGAAGAGTTTGCAGTTTCAGGTTTGTCCAGGTATGAACAAAGTTGGCCAGATTCACAAAGGTGTATAACCCCAGGCGGTCATTTCCATAATTAGACAAATGTGTCATGAAGATGCTGATCTTCAGAAAACAAAATAAAGCAAGCAGACATTGACTCTTCATATCACTAGATGGCAGTGTAACCACAGATAATATAAATTTAATTTGCATTTTGTTCTTATTTAGAGCTGCAAGACTTTGATTACATTTGCCCCGATCTTACAATTCTTGCTCTTCGTTGAATTACATCCTCCTTCTCAAGTCAACTCAATGGAATCAATGCACAAAACTGCAGAATAGGTACCGTGAGCTCTGTGTGAACTAGGATACACAATCCTACCCTGGTGTTGTACAACATTTATATAGTCTGCATGTAAATTTACTTAATGGAGAATACAGAAAAACAATTTTACTTCAAGCGGAAAACAAATGCAATATTAAAAATGTGAACTCTGTTTATGTGGAAAAGAAGTCAGAGACCAAGAGGATAGCTGACCTCTACTGCTCTGATTTAAATCTTGTTGATCCAACTGTTTTATAGGATAAGTAGATCATCTCTTCTACAAAGCTATTCTGCAAACACTGTGCAGAAAGTTGAATCATATGCAGAAACAAATGAAAAAATATCTGAAACCCGACTGAGTACTTTCAAATAATTATGTAAAAAGTACTCCTAAATAAAAAACCCCAAACTGAACAGCTCAATATCCATCAATTATAAGGCTGCTTATATTTTGTTCCTCTAACACTTATTGTGAAATTGCTACTCTCCTCCTGCTAAGTCCTGTGCTCCAACTGCACCCTCACACTCCCAATAGAAGAAATGCTTGCCCTGAAGGTTTCTCAGAGGAAGGGCATATTTGGATGCACGTAAGCTGTGCTGATGAGCAGATCAGGAATACACAAATGTCAAGGATGGTCTCTCAGGGATGGAGGAAGAGCTGAAGACTGAAATCTCCGTTTTGCAAAATGATCCATTTTCAAAGCAATTTTTCACTGATGAAACAGTTTGTTCATACACTAAAATCTGCAAACCATTGCCTCTCTAGCAGTGATTTTCTTTTTTTTTTTTTTTTTGAAATAGGATAACTCTCCCAAGATAAATTCTCCAGACTAATTTCCATTAAAAAATTAGAAACATGACTCTTTTTATAAATAAATCTGCTAATGCCATGAATGGGCAATTTCTATTTAAAGTAAAACTTGATGTAAGCCACTTTAAAATAAAAAAGGCTTATCATGGCTATAATTCTGAAATTAGTTCAGGAACTGAAGTTAATATTTTGTAAAGGAATGCCAGCCTTCAATTTAAAAAAGGAAAAATAAAGAATGAAAAACTGGAATCTACAGCTGTATTCTTTTGTTTCAGAGTAGTTAAACCACTGGCGTCCTTTGATATAGAACATTCAAAGCTACCGAACGTCTATTTTTGAACACCTAACTGTAACACTACAGAGAACTTGCAGTGAATGGACACAGAAAATGTGTTTATTTAATAGTGTCATTTGGTGACACCTCTTGGCTTATGAAGTAAGCTGAGGGCTTCAGTTTGTCTGACTCAAGTAAAATTAGAAGATATACACTGATAAATCATTAGGATACAATCTTTCTTTTCAGATAGGAGTGAGACTGAAAAAGCCAACCCCCTCCCCTTTTAGGCAACCAATAAAAAGCATTTTGTCAAACGTATAACCTTTCAAGTTTCCGTTTTTATTTCAGTTCTCAAAGCAGGAACAGACCGGCCATAGGCCTATGTTACTCTGAACAAAGATACAATCAGAGGGTTTCCATAAAAAAAGGTTAACTTGTTTTCTTGACAGCCTCTTTCTTTCCTACATGTGGGTTGACCTCTGACATTTATGTCAGGTGACCTCCTGGTAACTCCTTACATGCCAATAACCACAGCACTGCACTGGAAGAAAAAGCAAGAAAACTTGAAAAGATTGCTAGTTCAGGAAAATATGTATTATTCTTTCCCTGAAGAGAGTATCACTTAATTTTAAGAATGTCTGAGTGAAGGCTGAAAAATTGATCGGACGGATTATCATAAATAATTTCCATCATATGAAACTGTGTCAATGAAGGGGAAAAATATATCAGAGACCTTGGCTCTCATTTTATTTATTTTTTTTATTTCAAATACTTTATGGTTAATTATTTATGAGAAAAAGAAAGATGATAAATGCTTGTTTAAAATGAAAATAACTAAATCTTGTAAAGAAGTGTAACCGAATTGTTACTTAATGTCACAAAATGCAGACTCTGTTAACATACAACTTTACATTGCATAAAAGATCTTTATTTCTACATGGCATCAAAAATATTACAGATCAGCTGAGACTATCTTCCAGGAAAACTGAACGAAAGTATTTCCCTTCCTGATACTGTATAAATTCCTAGTAAAATCACTACCACTACCTGTGTAAAATCATCAAGCTACAATCCTGTGCTTCATAGTATGAACAATGAAGTATTGCTGATCCAGGGCCTAATTCACCTGATCCGACTGGAGAACTACTTACTCTTGTTTCCAGTTGCAAAAGGTCTTTGCAGACTAAGCTAGCAGCTTGTATAACCGACAGGAGCGTGATGCTGCAATGGCTGCATTCACGTTTCTCCAAGAAGGATCTTGGCCCACTTTATACGCTAGGGATCTTGAGGAGAGGTGGCTCACAGTATGTGATGCCAACCTGCCAGCCGCTCACTCCTGCGAGTTTGTCGACAACAGCTATGCAGCCACGGCACTGGGAGAGATGTATTAAGCTGATCCTCCGGTTTCCCTGACTACAGGGAGAAAATGATATCCAAGTGCAATTTTAAGGGATTTCACCTTGGCGCTGGCCCAGCTGCAGGGTATGGTGTGCTGCTACCCACTTCCCTGCTTTCCCACCAAGCTGTGCAGAAGGATGGAAACTTGTATCATCACCTCTCCCTTTGCAGGTGTGCAGTTTCACACGAAGACAAAACATCATTATTTTTTTGCCTTACCTATTGAGTTATGATGCTTGGTTTTGCTCTATCATACCACATTCTGCTTCATTCAAACAAGTTCTAACTAATGAGAATGATGACTCTTTCTGTGCCAACTAATAGGTAGCACACACTATACTATTAAAGATTTATTCTCTTAAAAACACAGATCAGGAGATATAAAAGGAATTCTTTGTGAGCATCTCAGAAGACTAGATCTAGTAAATAACGCTATTTGTTCAATAACCTTCCACCTCAAGGAAACACTGTAAAATATAAACAGAGCTTCATATATTTCTTTATTCCTTCTTCAAAAGGGAAGCAGCTACGAATGGATTTATATTTACTCTAACAAGCATTTTAGCCTCCCTTTCAGTTAAAAAGAGTTTACTTGATTTTATTATCTCCAGCCCTCTTCTAAAATAACTTCTTTCAGGGCATCTCAGCATTTTCTTTATCTCAGTGCAAGAAGGATCACCCTTTTAAGCTGTTCCTCATAAACAAACTATCATCTTGGTTGCACTTCAATGCACACTCTCCACAGGATTTAATATCTTTCATGAGGGGACTGAAATGGAATGCAGACGATTTTTAAAATGATGGTTTGGGACTAAATCTGGCCTCTGGGCAGCAGCTCCTTTCTTGCTTATACCCGTCTTTGGATCAGAGTAGCAAAGGTGCTTTACTCTGCCTTCTCAGAGAGCCTTATAGGCAGCTGTATGACCTGCTCCTTTCAGCTTCTCCTCAGCATTTCTGCACTCCTCCTTCCTCAGAACGAAAGGGCAGAAGGCTACTTCTGTTCTGCTCTTCTTCCCAAGCCCTGATTTTATTTGGGATTCTGACCAGTACTGCAGAGATGTAGGCAAATGACAAGCACTCAGGAGAAACAGCTTTTAGCTTTCATTCTGTGGTGCATATTTCCTTACTATCCAATAGCAGCAGCTCAGTCTCAGTCTCAACTCTATAATTTGTTGACCTAGAAGCTATTGCCTCTAATTGGGAAATGTATTTAAATCATACAAATCAGGAAAAGATGAACCAGCATGATCTAATTTATGTATCAAGAACAGAGAAAACTTGACAAACAAACAAAATGAAAAAAATGCAACTAGTTACCCAGAAAATATTTATGGTGAGCAAGACTAGCTGCTCTGATAGAAAGCAGCAGAGTTGATATTTTTGTGCTGGGCAACCGGCATATATTGCCTCTCCCCTCCATATATCCTGACAAGCAAAATGTACTTTGCTTCACATTCAAACTCCATTTTACACAAACATTTTGCAGATGAATAGGTTGCACTTACACCTCACTATTATTCTTCTTCATACTCCTTTTCTGTTTATACCTCCGTAATGGTGCACCGCAGCAGGAGGACTTTTCAATTTGGTTTCAGTCACAGTAATAATGCGGGAAAGGAAAGAAGTGGCAATGTCTACAGCAGAGTGAAATAAATTAAGCTCAAAAGAACAGTAAAAAGCCTGTAGAACACCAGTCCACTAAGCAAGTCGTCTTCAAACTTTTTTGACCATGCACACCTATCAGTAAAAATTTTTTGAGCACACCCCCCCAATGTATGTATAGTTATTTATAAATTATATTCTTCTAACTGAAGTTCCAATATTTTCTTCCTACACCTAATTGGATCATTTTGTGCACGCCTCTTTGGAGACCACTGCACTAGGCTGTCAGGATTGTGCTGTAACCCAAGAGCAGAGAGAAGACTCCCTTTTCAGAGGTTGGCAAGCATCAGGGAAGCCAAGGAAGGACTAAGACTTGCAGTGACACTGATGCTGTTGAACAGATTTATTATCATTCTGGCATTTCAAATCTGGAACTAGAAGAGCTGGTATAAAAATAAATAAATCAGTAATAACCATTTCTTATGGACTGGACATGTCTTCTGATTTTTACCATATATAAATCTATTGCAGGCAATCTAACTTGACTAAATTCATACTATTAAACCAGTCACCAAGGTACGTTTTTCATGGGCACTGTGTCACCCTCCAATCTGTGCAACAACATTAAAAGGCAGCATTGAGGCCTCCCAACTCAATGAAGTTAAGCACACCACTTTAAAATGAAGTTAAATTATGATTGACAATTAATT